GCATAGACTTCCGCAGACCAGACTTTCACGAAGTGGTGACTCCTATTATAATCATCCATTACAATAAAACTTAGGGGAGGAAACCTTGGGAGAGTTCAGCTTGGTTTCCGGAAGGTCATCAGGTCACATCTATTTTGGCTCGAGACAGCGGCAACACACTGCAACACACTGCATCAGTACATGTCAACAGCTAATGACGTCGGAGTGTGGAGACTCAAAGCTGAGATGCACTATCTTCATTGATTCATGTTTGCACTATACCACTAATCGAAGGAAGTTTAGAAGTCAAACTTCCGACAATATGGAGAGATGAAAAGCAGAGCAGGGCAGAGGCACAGAGAAGAGGAAGATTAGAAGAGAGAAGATCAGAAGAGAAAGAGTAAGAGGACAGACGCTACAGATGCGCGAAAAGGTAGGAAAGTCGCGAAACACTCGGAACACTGTGTTTTTCCAATGATTTGTGGCGCCGGAGGGTCGAAAAGTAGGCTCGCTAAAGCGGCGGGTGCGGAGCCAGCTGGCCACAGGAGCGATGCAAAATTGCACGCCGTTGTGGCGCGAAGCACATTTCCAAGTCAAAACGTACAAAACACCAGGGGTTCGGACCACTTTTGGAAGTTGAGATGTCGAAAAAGTGCACGCCGTTGTGGCGCGAAGCACATTTCCAAGTCAAAATGTACAAAACACATCAGCTCCGGACCACTTTTGGAAGTTGCGATGTTGAAAAAGTGCACGCCGTTGTGGCGCGAAGCACATTTCCAAGTCAAAATGTACAAAACACTAGGGGTTCGGACCACTTTTGGAAGTTGCGATGTCGAAAAAGTGCACGCCGTTGTGGCGCGAAGCACATTTCCAAGTCAAAATGTACAAAACACACCATTTTCGGACCACTTTTGGAGGTTCAGATGTCGAAAAAGTGTCTAAAAAGTGCACGCCGTTGTGGCGCGAAGCACATTTCGAAGTCAAAAGTGTAAAAAACTGAGGGTTTTGAGCCTTTTTTGACGATGTCGAAAAAGTAGACACTGCTTAACTTAACTAACTTGACTAACTTCACTAACTTCTACCCTAACTTCGACGACAACAGCAACAGCAACACCGCACGATGGCGTATCAGCAGCCGTAATTCATTGCACACGATCGCGCTGCCGCATCCGTAATTCATTGCAGGCCGAAGAATTCGTTGCAGGCGTATTCATTGCATCGGATCGCGCTGCCGCATCCGTAATTCATTGCATGCCGAAGAAGGCTTTACCACTAAATCATGGGACCTTCAGATCCCTTTAACCCGAAAATCCTTTAATCCTAAGCTGTCCGTAACCCTAAAATCCTTTAACACTAACATCCTTTATTCCTAAGCCCATTGAACCCTAAGACCTTTTAACCCCTAAATCCTTTGACCCTAAGCGAAGAATTCGTTGCAGGCCAGCGTGTGTGTTTTTTCTGACCGCACGATGGCGTATCAGCAGTCGTAATTCATTGCACACGATCGCGCTGCCGCATCCGTAATTCATTGCAGGCCGAAGAATTCGTTGCAGGCGTATTCATTGCATCGGATCGCGCTGCCGCATCCGTAATTCATTGCATGCCGAAGAAGGCTTTACCCCTAAATCATGGGACCTTCAGATCCCTTTAACCCGAAAATCCTTTAATCCTAAGCTGTCCGTAACCCTAAAATCCTTTAACACTAACATCCTTTATTCCTAAGCCCATTGAACCCTAAGACCTTTTAACCCCTAAATCCTTTGACCCTAAGATGCTTTTAACCCTAAATCCCTTTAACTAGTCTTTATAATCCGATCACGATTTAACGCTAAAGTCTGTTAACCCTACGGCATTTGTAACCCTAAAATCCTTTAACCACAAAGTGGATTAACCATAGATCCTTTAACGCTAAATCCTTTAACCCTACGATGCCTTGACCCCGAAATCCCTTAACCTTAAGATCCGTTTAGCCCTAATTTTGTTTAACCCTAAACTCCTTGAACCCTAACATCCGTTGGCACGTCTCTGACGGTACCAAGGCACAGCACCAGCCGGAATTCGTTGCATGTCAGCGTGTGTGGCCACATCACCAGCCGGAATTCGTTGCATGTCAGCGTGTGTGTCTTTTCTGATCGCACGATGGCCATCCAGCACTTGGAATTCGTTGCGGGCCAGCATTTGTACTTCATTGCAAGCCCGGCCGAAGATTTTGCCCGTTGCTGCTGGGAAAAAAACACACTGCGGCGACTCCGTGAAGGAGACGTGTCAGAGGGATGTGCTAGATTTCGTCATGTGTTTCTGGTCTGTTGTGTTAACGCTGTAGGAGCTGTTGAAGTTCCAATTTCGGAATATGAGGATCGTATCAGTACACGGTAGATGGATGGAGTCGGATGGATGGATGGATGAATGGATGGATGGATCGATAGATAGATAGATATAGAGAGAGAGAGAGATATATATATATATATAGATAGATAGATAGTATATATATATATAGATATATAGATAGATAGATAGATAGATAGATAGAGAGAGAGAGATAGATAGATAGTATAGATAGATAGATAGATAGAGAGAGATGGATAGATACTGTAGATAGATAGATAGATAGATAGATAGATGGATGATAGATAGATAGATAGATAGATAGGTAGATGGATGGATGGATAGATAGATAGATAGATAGATGGATAGATAGAGAGAGAGATATAGATAGATAGATAGATAGATAGATAGATAGATAGATAGATAGATAGATAGATAGATAGATAGATAGATAGATAGATAGATAGATAGATAGATAGATAGATACATAGATAGATAGATAGATAGTTAGATAGATAGATAGATAGAGAGATAGAGAGATAGATAGAGAGATAGATAGATGGATGGATGGATGGATAGATAGATAGATAGAAAGAGAAAGAGAGATAGATAGATAGATAGATAGATACATAGATAGATAGAGAGATAGATAGATAGATAGATAGGTAGATAGATAGATAGATAGGTAGCTAGCTAGGTAGCTAGGTAGGTAGATAGATAGATAGAGAGAGAGAGATAGATAGATAGATAGATAGATACTGTAGATAGATAGATAGATGGATGATAGATAGATAGATAGATAGATAGATAGATAGATAGATAGATAGATAGATAGATAGATAGATAGATAGATAGATAGATAGATAGATAGATAGATAGATAGATAGATAGATAGATAGATAGATAGATAGATACTGTAGATAGATAGATAGATAGATGGATGATAGATAGATAGATAGATAGATAGATAGATAGATAGATAGATAGATAGATAGATAGATAGATAGATAGATAGATAGATAGATAGATAGATAGGTAACTAGATAGGTAATTAGATGAACAAGAGAGAGAGAGAGAGAGAGAGATAGATAGATCGATAGATAGATAGATAGATAGATAGAAGATAGATAGGTAGGTAGGTAGGTAGGTAAGTAGGTAGGTAGGTAGATAGTCAGAGAAAGAGAGCAAAAGAGAGGGGACCTCAAGCACCTTTCGGTCCATCAGTGGATTCGCTCTGCCATCCCTGATTCACAACAACCAACCTCTCCTATAGGTTTCCTATTTTTGAAACTTCCGCCACCGCCTTGTGCGGTACTACTGGTATATACCTTTACGCAGAATTTGTCTCCAGCTTCCACCAGAGCTAGTGGTTGAGCCTTGCATGAGATACTCAGCGATCTGCTATTGTCAGCCTCCTCGGCATTGGACACCGTCTATATAGACAGATATGGATGTTCACTTGTGGGTATCTGGAGCAACATTAGCCTTGTTTTATATAGAGGTATTGTCCCACGCACTGGAAGGCTGACCATCAAAACCAGGATAGTTTTTTCATTGCAACGACCAATCTTGCAGTCCCTGTCTTGTACCTGCAGTTAGAAGTTGGTTTATAAACCCAATCAAATACAAATATATCCACCATGGCACCTAGTTGATGTAGTTATAAAATGTTAGAAACCAACCTAACCATGGGATTCTTTAGCCATAGCCACACACATTCAATGCAGTGAGTCTTCATCCGGCTGGGCTGTAACCCTTGAGGTGCTCGGTCGCGTTGGGTCGGACACATTCTACACATTTTGATGACGGCTAGTGATGGATAAACCAAAAAAACCTTCTTCATACAAGGTGGTGCCCCCAAGATAGCTAAGTTGGTTTATAACTCTAATACCTAGGATTTATGGTAGATGTATCTATAGTTAATGGGATTATAAACCAACTTATAATTGGGGGGCACCATCCTGTAGAGAATTTTCATTTTTTTTGTTTGTAGAAGATTGTATAAATCAACCTTGAACAACATACGTGTTCAGGTCAGTGGCTCTCACTCTATCAAAGATGGGGCTGTTGACAAGTTGCAGTGTGCAATTTATCGCTTGAGCATGGCTCAACATTTGGAACTGTCAGGACCCCCCCATTTGCAGTTATCCTCCCGTAAATTAAGTATTACACCATTAATATTTGTAGATCATACCTATGTGGATGTTCACTCCATTGATCTACCAGGGGTTGAATTATGTTAAGACCAATTTGCTAGCCATCCATTTCGCTGTTTACACTTTTCAAAGCCTGGGAGCAGCATGAGGTGTGCAGCGGGAGCCACCCAGTTGCTGTTCACATCTTTAGACATTGGAGAACTTGTTGATACTTTCGCTGGAGAAGAAAGCTAGTGTCTTGTTGCAAAGTACTGATGGTTTCCCTTTTCTCCTTGAGATGATGAGCATTATAATATTACATGTATATATATATACACATTATACATTTGATGATATGTGTGTATATATATATACATATATATATGGATATATTTACACATGACATATCTACATATATATATACACATACATGTATATACATATGTTTTATAATAATATATTTGAATATTATAGAGATGTACTTTGTGATGATTGTTGATGGCAAGGAAGCACCGGAAGCCAGTCATTCCAATGCCCAGCGCCCCTGGGATAGCCGCGAAGTTTTGGATCGAGCCACGCGATCCAGCTAAGCTGGGGGAAGGAAACTCGGGACCAGATGCAGAAGTCGATCATGCCCATAGGATCCATGTATGGTATGTATGTATATATATATGCTAACATTGGGGGTATATTGATGGTAAATGTTACCATATATAGCATACATGGATCCTATGGGATGGTTTATTCAGTTTATTCCCCATGGTAAGGAGTCGAGGTGTTTTATAAACTTGTTTCTCCTGGTATGACAGGGTATGGTTATTTTGTTGCCGGCATGAGATTGTGGTCACTATTGACTATGCTCAAAAAGACCCAACATTAAAATTTTAGAACGTTTTTTTCTTTTTAAGGGGAAAAGCCGCTCTAAGATTCGCTCGAACCAAAACCAAACGAGGGGTCCCCATTCGTAGTGAAGCCAATGGGTTGCATGTGTGTATGGACACCCGTGGTAGTGACAGCTACGATTGAAATCCTTCCTTTGTATCCATAGATACCTCGGAAGACTGATGCTCGCACCTAGATCATCCGCATGGTTGCCTCTACGCGTGCCTATCCTGATGCAGATCATCCATGCATGACCTGTATTATTGTGTATGTTTGACGAGATACTATATCTCTATCTCTGGAAAACCTATATAATTATATATATATAGACATGTATCAATCTGCAGATCAATACATTGAACATACACATCTGATTTTTTTACATTTATCTCCCATATCATCCCGGACATATGTCGGATTATGTGGGTCATTTCCGACGAGGATGGCCATGGATCTTGGCTTTGTTGCTGCAGATGTACTGCGACCTGCACACACTCCTCGTGCCCAACGCCTGGTGCTAGACTCAGTATTTGTATGTGCATGTGACAATATGAACTGTATGTGTATATATATATAATATGGGTGTGTCAAGGGTATTCTCCCAACAATTTCGATGGGGATCGTTATGATGATCCATTGGAATTGGACATAAGCTATTTTCAGACAAACCAATGTGGTTATATAATAATATATATATATATATGTAGGAGAGAGAGAGAGAGAGAGAAAAGAAAGAACGAAAGAAAGAAAGAAAGAACAAAAGAAAACAAGAGAAAAAACAAAGAAAAGAAAGGAAGAAGGTGGATGTTGGTGGTCCCTTCCGCCTAGTATTAGATTCCATTGAATGGTCCCTAAAATAAACAGATCCAATGCTAAACTGCTCAGCCTTCGCGCTCAGCCAGGGGTCTTTGATTTCAAGAAAGAGGGACTACTTGTGACTACTTGGATGTATATTTCAGATATTTGTGCTGGCAATGTGGATATATCCATCATTATTGATCAACAGTGGTGGGTTCAGAAGCAGCAAGAATAGGATGGTCCTTACGGTGCAGCATTTATACAAAATATATTATAGCATACTGTAGCTTGAATATGTTTGTGGTCCTCGCTCGTATCAGGTTTCAATTGAGTAGAAGGAGTAAAAGTATTCAAGTCGATCGTGGATTAATTTGCATCCACCATATATTCTACACACATACCTTCAAGTCTCTCTCTCTCTCTATCTATCCATCTATCTATCGATCTATCTATCTATATATATATATATATTTGTTTCTTCTGCATTGTGTGGTAAACCCAATAATAAACCGTCCCCACTAGAGGTTTCTGAAGCTGGCTTTAGCACTACCTACAGATATATCGCCCGTAGGCAGCGAGCGTGCGGAGAGATGGGGCAAACTTAGTGGGAAACCGTTTCAGTCACTGGGCGGAGCGGGATGGATGGTGAATGGCTGGTGAAAATCAGGGAGTTTTACCAAGCCGAAAACCTGGCAGTTTGGTTTTATATGTTTTTGTAGCAAAGAATAAAACAGGACATCCCCCAAAAAACCACCTGCTTTTTTGGGGGCTACAAAGTCTTGAGTTTCCAGTAAAATTGAGCACAAGCCAATTCGTTGACAGAAACTTGGGATTTGCATGGATTTGCCATGATTTGCCTGCAGTAACATGGGTTGGGATATACTGGGAATGGGATATCTGAGAATCCTACAGGGAATAGCAACTGGGTGCATTATTGATCGATAGGTTAACGGAGATTGAGGCCAAACAACCATGTAATCACCAAAGTAACGGATTTTACCAGCAACAATTCTTCTTGAGTAAAGCTAGGTAACTCGTAGGTAAATGGATGTAAATGGGTGCTATGAGGGAATATCCTCTGGTAAACTAACATAGCTATTGAAAATGGCCATTTATAGTCAGTTTTCCCATTAAAAATGGTGATTTTCCATAGTTATGTTAGTTTACCAGAGAGTATCTCAGATCACCACTGGATTCACCAGAGGGTGCCATGACACCATTACTTCTCAGCAATAAGACCTCTCCAGTGGGTTTGGTTTTGACACATTGTAATACACATATATTATATAAGTATATATATAATACATATCATATATACATGTACATATGTAATCATACATACATACATATATATATCCAGTGTTTTCGTTACATGCTAGCTTCGCCAAGCCCATGAGTTGAGTGCTTGCATCCCCACTGGTTGACTGGCTTTTCACAACGGCCCGGGGGGCCCTCGCATTTCAAAGCCACATTGGAGACTTCACCGAAGAGTTCACCACCATGTTTTTTGTTTCCAAGTTGAGTCAAAAACTTTTCGAGCTGTGAAACCATGTGATTCAGATCCACCTGCTTAGTTTAATACTTTCCACTGTTGAACCATGTCTTCCCTGTGATACACACGTATGACCCATAGCCAACGTTTTTTGGGGGGAAGCCAGGTTATAGGGTGTCGCATGGTAAGGGACTTGTTCCTACCGGCACTGCAGTTTCAAACCGCCTGGGCTTGATATGTCATCTCTTGCCTGCCAGGAACTTCAATGCAATTCCGCATAGTTTATCTAGAAATTTGCTGGAAGGTCCCTGTGCCTGCTGGAAATTAGCTTTATGTTTCTTTCGATCGCCCACTGCGAGTTTTATCAGTTGGTGAGGATAACCCATAGGATCCATGTATGCTATATATGGTACCCTCTGGTAAATTAACATAGACCCTGGCAGATAGGGGTTGGAAGACTAGTTTCCATAAAAAAAATGGTGATTTTCAGGGTCAAACTGTTAATTTACCAGGGGGTAACATTTACCATCAATGCAATATACCCCCAATATTAGCATATATATCATACATAGCATTGAACAATGACCATTTATAGTTGATTTTCCCATTAAAAATAGTGATTTTCCATAGCTATGTTAGTTTACCAGAGGGTACCCCCAATGTTAGCATATATACCATACATGGATCCCATGGGTAAGGGATGTTCCCCCGCTGCGAGGTTTTGCCGTCTGTGCCGCTGCTATAGGCCGGGGAGCTGTGTTTCGATAGCCCACATTGGGAGATGGTCATCCGTTAAGGGTTTAGCCCTACTACCCTCTGGTTAACTAACATAACTATGGAAAATCAACATTTTTAATGGGAAAACTCACTATAAATGGTCATTTTCAATAGCTATGTTAGTTTACCAGAGGGTAACAACGATTCGTATCTTTTAGATTTATAGATTCCTTAGTTATGGAGGGGGTTATCATTGGAAAAATGGATATATATATATATAACATGGTTTTTTCTCATTGTAAAGATTCCCATGTATTCCCATTATATCCCATTACTGGATTCATAACCACACATGTATAAAATGTGTTGACCATGGCACGCGCGTGACAATCAACAATGATTTGCGTATTCATGAATGGTCGATTTGCCAATGTGGTATAAAGTCTACGAGGTTGCAATTTCATTCAGTTGGTAAATCCTTGATGGTTTGTTTACTATAATTATTTAATTACCTAGACCATCCAAGCATAAGGGTACCTAGAAAAATGGCGTATTATACCAATTGTTTGTTTTTTTTCAATTTTTGTCTAGGCATTTGGGGGGTCTAGGTACAGCTAGCAGCTATGTACCGTTGCCATGAGATTTTGTTTCAACCAAATTACCCCGTAAAACAAACATTGTATATTGACATTTATATGCATATCATATACATCCATATGTCCCAGCTCCAAGCATATCTGTTTTACATATATTGACAGATATTGTATGTGTATCTCTATATAATCTATATATATATATATGGTTGGTGGTGTGGAACATTTTGTATTTTTCCATATATTGGGAATAATCATCCCAACTGACTTTCATATTTTCATAGGGGTTGAAACCACCAACCAGATATATATATATACAGAGATACATAGAAGAGATAGACAGCAATCATCCTCCCTCTGGCTAAGTGCTTGAGGTGTTCGATCACTGATCCGTGCGCAAAGACCCGCACGCAGGAGACGTGACGCAGGGTCATCGAGCGCAGACTTTAGATGGAAACAACATGGAAAATTAGGGGCGCACCATCAGAAATATGGATTTCACCATGAACCAATGGGATAATGGGTTTAACCAAAAGGAATTGGAACTTCGCCGCCCGCAAGACTTGAATTCAAGCGTCAACAATAGGATAGAATACGATGGAACAGGTATATGACCGGTCACCCGGCTGATTTTCTTCATAGTGTTCTCTTTCATCCCTGCATTTATCGTTGATCCCAATGGTCTCCGGGGTATTCCGATGTGTTTTCCACAGCTTGACCCTCCAGTCTGAAAGATCATCCATGGTATACCCCTAGAAATGGAATGATGGTTTTAGTGTGACACCCAGTCATGGTTGGTGACTGGGATGGTGGCATTGGGTTTCCCACAGGCGATCTTAGGTGCATGTAAACACTGCTGAAACCATGCATGGATGCTACGAAGAAGAGCGCAGGACGCAAACAGCTTTGGCCGTTCGCAGGAAGGACCAGGCTCCAGTCGCAGGACCAGGGTTGTTTTTAAGCATCAAAAATCTGGTTTAAGATGGTTTGATGGTACAGTAACTCAGGGTTAATACACCACCAGTTTACAAATAAGCAGTACCAATTTTCATAGTAATGTATCGCTGTTTGGGGGGTAACCCCCGCCCAAGGAATAGTCAGGGTTTATGAATTATAATAGACATACCAAGAAACAATTTGCTCAAATGATTCTACGACATTGATTCCTTAAGGACCAAAATCCATGAACACTTTTGGAGGACTTGTTTAAGGTGTATCAGAGTGTCATGACATGTGTATATATATATGTATGTATATATATATATATCATCATTTATATGTACTTGTGATGCATGGGTTTGTCTCAAACTGTTTTTTTTTTATCCGTATACCGTATGCAATTAATGGAGGACATGATGATCAACCATGTGAACCCTAATTCAGACGCAACCCCATGTAACTCTGCACCAAGATATGTCCCAACTCTGTAATCTATATAAGTATATATATATGATAATACCCCCCAAAACGCTTGAAAAAACAAACTCCGCCAAAATAGTTATAAATTACCGTTCTTGATTTGTTGCAGTCACTTTATATGTACCCATAGGATCCATGGTGCTGGTATATATGCTAACATTGGGGGTATATTGATGGGATCCATGTTACCGTATATAGCAGCACCATGGATCCTATGGGGTATATATAATATATATATGGTAACATTTAGTATAATATACCCATTCAAATCTATGGATCCTATATACAACAGCCCTTTGAATTTGATGCGACATAGCGACATGGCAGGCATCAATTGCCCATAGCTCAGAGCTCACTGAGGCCCGCGATTTGCGGATGGGACCGGGTTTTCCGCGAAAGATGTGCAGAGTAAGAAGCCCGAAATAATTTCAGCCTTCAGATTCAGGAAACAAATCCTAAATTTCCAGTCAATTTCCTATTTTTTTTTTCGAAAGATCTTCCCTGAAAGCAAAAAAATCTGGGAGAATGTTGTTGCTTGAAGTTAAGTGTGAATCCACCATTTGGGGACTTGAAGATTTTAGATGTTTCTGGTCCGTGTTTGTTGGAATCAAGGGACGGACATATTCCTGGTGAAAAGGAAGACACTTCGAGAAAAAATGATGGTGTTGATCAATTCCTTGGATGGGCCATGGAGTTAGTTAACTAGTTAGTAAATGGTTTAACTACTGTAGTTAGTAAATTGTTTAACTAGTTAGTAAATGGTTTAACTACTGTAGTTAGTAAATTGTTTAACTAGTTAGTAAATGGTTTAACTACTGTAGTTAGTAAATTGTTTAACTAGTTAGTAAATGGTTTAACTACTGTAGTTAGTAAATTGTTTAACTAGTTAGTAAATGGTTTAACTACTGTAGTTAGTAAATTGTTTAACTAGTTAGTAAATGGTTTAACTACTGTAGTTAGTAAATTGTTTAACTAGTTAGTAAATGGTTTAACTACTGTAGTTAGTAAATTGTTTAACTAGTTAGTAAATGGTTTGATTATAACCCCAGTTACTAACCAGGAATCGCTAATCCTATGGCCCATCTAAGTAGATGAATGATGATGAAGCATGATCTGATAGATCTTCAAATGGGCACAATGCTAGAATCCAACAGTACCGAGGGGTTAAATTATCCCACTTTTGGGATCTTTTGGGGGGGAGTGGTTTATTTTTGAGTAAAGTGCCAAATCCACCTGCCTGTTGTGCTTCATTCCAGGAGCCAGCGGAACCAATGGTTTTAGGGGCATGCCCCCACTGTTGGGTAAACACAGACACGCAACTGGACCCATCTAGTTCCATCCTGTCCCATCAATTTCAGAATTCATTGTATATTGTTATACCCGCATATACCCGCTGCTTCTCCATTTAGGGAATAAACAAATTTGACCACAGCGTTTTTTGCGGCTGTCAGTTATTATTTGATTCGGCTGAACATTGACTGTGGTGGCAGCGATGTTCTACGTCCGTTTCGAACCATGGTGATTCAACCAGGAATTTAACCACAGATCAATGGGCATCATCATTTTCCTCATTAAAATTGCCAGCAACAAATTGGTGGTATCATGTGGTATCCCCAGTTTCATGCCCATACCGTTGTTTCAACAAATTGTATTAAAGTTTAAGGGACACTTTTCAGGAAACCACCAAGTAGGTTGTAAAGATCATGGTTTTAAGTTTTAAGCGTTGTTTTCCCGACGTTTCCGTTGTAATACTATAGGTTTTCCCTTAAACCAATCCACAGACGAAGTTTGCAACCATGAATTGGTCACATGGCTTGAAACTGTGATGTTCCAGGAGGAGGAGAAGGCGCTGAGCCAGGGACTTCCCGTCCAAAGGCCAGATGTGCTGGGACATCCACTGTGAATATGGAGGTTTGAGATGGGAACTTCACAGGTATTTCTCATGCAGTATGCTCCAGCTAGCCATGTTTCATGACAGGTTTGATGGATCAAAACCCCTTCTTGCCATATTTAGGGGATGAACACCAGCAAAATAAGCTGTGAACAGAAGGGGAACCAGGTTTTGGCTCATAGCGAATCAAGTGGAAGGCCACTGCTCATGGTTCCTGGAGAGGATTAGTCACCCAAACGGGGTATCCTAAGGGTGACTATGAAGGCCTGGTTCATGAAGAACCAATCATGATTGACGTTTCAGAAGTTTGTAACAAGCAATACACTTGGAGATGGCCTGGCTACTACGGCTATGATGATTATGATGTCGATGGTGATGAAGAAGAAGAAGAAGAAAAAGAAGAAGAAGAAAAATAATAAGAATAATCAGAAGAAGAAGAAAAATAAGAATATGATGATGATGAGGAGGAGGAGGAGGAGGAAGATGAGGATGATGATGGTGGTGATGATGATGATGGTGGTGATGATGATGATGGTGGTGGTGATGATGATGGGGAGGATGAGGATGAGGATGAGGATGTGGAGGAGGAGGAGGAGGAGGAGCAGGAGGAGGAAGCGGAGGGCAGTGATGAGAATGATGATGAGAACGATGCAAATGTTGAGGATGCTGGAGGATGATGGAGGATGAGGTTGACGGGCAGCTGACGGGTGATGTTCCTGCTCGGAAGTTCTAGACAAGCTGACACTGTGCCCATGCGTCAAAGTGTGCATTTGTGTGTCTGACGACCAGTGACTCCCAAAAGTCTCGATCTGAGAGAGAAATCAAGTAAGTAGTTGCGGGGATCCCGCCAATGCGCCGCATATCCAGAAATTAGTTCACTTTCCAGACGCTGAAAGTTCCGGGAAATCGAAATCATGGTGTGACATGTGTCGACTGTTCAGGCAACACGTCTTTGGTAGAGAAGGAACAGGTGCTGCCGGCATTCTTTGGGGGAATAGGAGTGGCAAGAGATGGTGATAAGAAACCATCCCAATCTGAATAGCTGGTAACCATACACTTTAATATTTGCTTTCTTGTGGGCGGTTCGATCTGTTTATCCAGGTGAATCCATAGTTGTTTGATCAGACTAGAGCCATATCATGATTGCGAACGCAAAAAACACCTCTGTTGAAAGGTTGAAGTTGTTGTAACGTCCCTTTGTGTCTTTTTCACGACGCGCGCCTTGACTGACGAAGAAAAAACAAAGAACATCTTAAATTGAGAATGCAACTTCCTTGCATACCCTCTGGATCCCTCTGGTAAACAGACAAAAAACTATGGAAAATCACAATTTTCAATGGGTAAATCCACTATTTCTATGGCCATTTTCAATAGTTATTTGACATAACCAGAGGGAAAATATTTGCTGATGGCACTGCGACTTCCTTTTCAGGACATCCACCGGCCAAGAGCCGGAGGTTCCCAAAAAAACAAAAAAAAAAAAACATGTGTCTATCATTTACCATTCATTTATTACATCACCTACCATGATTTACCATGTCAGGGCAACATATATAAATATCTACTGAAACATATTTCAACCACCATTTGACGCAGCATTTCCCAATCGACTTTACCCAGCCTTTATCGACTCCGCGGCGCGCGCGCAACGCGCGCAACGCGCGGCGCTGCCAGGCCTTGTGGTGCTCGATGTTGATGCACCCTGGTTTGCCTCTCGTTGGTGAAACCTTGGTGAATCACCTAACTGAAAAAAGGGACATCCCGCCATTCCGCCGGCATCACAACGAGTTCACCGTAACAGTGGGATGAAACTAATGAAACGCTGAGATTTGTTGATTTTTCAGCATCTTAAGATGGTGGATTTTTTGCATCAGTTTGGAGCGAATGTTGATGTATTGTCAAAATATATTGTCAAAATATATTGTCAAAATATAAACTGTGATGGACGATAGGCTAATGTGATGTTTTTGTTGTGTTCTTTTTTTGGACCATGGATATGGTAGGATCACTACGCAAAACCTTGGAGATGATTCCCCCTATATTGGCAAGAGTTACCCTCCGGTGAAAAAACTTGGCTAGCCGAAAAATCCCTTAAGCAATGAACATGCTAAATATGCTAATGGGAAATCATCGAGCGAAATAGGGGATTTTCCAGCTAGCGCTGATTACCAGAGGGTATACCACCATGGGACCGGGGATACCCATCGAGACGATTCGTCGCCCTCCGAAGTGGTCGACCCGGTTACGGTCAACCCGGTTTTCGTGGTTTGATGCGTATCACCGGTAAGCCCAGTGACTCTTGAAAACCATGTTTTAGTTCGATTCTATGTAATGATTGTGTATATATATATATAATATGATATCTTTTGTGGGTGGGTTTCCACTTTCTTGTTTAAACATGATTTAATAAGAAACACACATGATATGTGTATATAAATTTACATATATATAATATACTGTGGATGGAAGAAATCCTGCATCACCTTGGATGGTTGAAACCCTATAAATAATGGGATGTTTACCACCTATCAACTGGTGCCGGATTTCTTCCATCCACTTTATGTTTTTCTAAATGGAAGCACTGCTACAAGGTGGTGCCCCCAAGATAGCTAAGTTGGTTTATAACTCTAATAACTAGGATTTATGGTAGATGTATCTATAGTTAATGGGATTGTAAACCAACTTATAACTGGGGGGCACCATCCTGTACATGTTTGGATAGTTCGCCCCATGGTTTTATCCGGCCCAGGTCGTTCTGGACCGGCTGAGATCCTTTCAGGCAAATTTCATGGGGATGATATGCCGACCTGCGAGTCAGTGTTGACTCATCACAGTGAAGATCAACTGGCTTCGGGGTATGCCCGTGTATATATATATATTACGGTTGTATAATCAAAGAAAACCGGCGGATAAAACAAAACGAAAACATGAGACTTGTACCAATCAACATGGGATTTAACATGATGTTCGATGATTTAGCCAACAAAGTCTGGAACAATTAAACGACCAACCCGTCCCAGTTGGATGAATGATCTTTCACCCCTCCAGTGTTGTTGAAACGTTCTTCTTTCATTGGTGGTCTATCAACCCACAAAATTAAGTGATTCTTGAGAGATCCATAATATTGAGATCGTTCCAGAAACCAAGCGGCCACTTGGTTTCACGACTGTCGCTTCTCATCACAGGAATATCCGCAGATGATCCCAGTCATCAGAGATGCAGATATTCAATCGAGAGGCTGCGACGCCGAAGGCCAGCGTCCGCCGATGTATTGGGATCAGCCGAATCAGCCGAAGAATCCGCCGATGGGGAGAGCTGAAGAGCTATTTAGGTAAATGGCCATGGATCAATACCTATAAATACCATTTTTAGGGGGATGAACATCCATTTACCAGCTATTTTGATGTGAACTACAGGGGTACAAGGTTTTGACCCATCCCCAAATCAGAATCTACTTTTGGTATCCTTTGGTGATGTCTTTGTGTATCTCAACGTCGAGGCCAGTCATGATATAAAATCAGAACATTGCTCGAACAACCTTTGCCGCTACATCAAGAATGGTCAAAATCCGTATGATGTATGAATGATGACATAGTTTGGTAGAGAGATTTGAGGGATGCTCCATGTTCATTACCTTCTGGTAAACTAACATAGCTATGGAAAATCACCATTTTTAATGGGAAAATCCACTATTTCTATGGCCATTTTCAATAGCTATGTTAAATTACCAGAGGGTAAACATTTCAGCTGGTGTTTCTGCCCCTCTCCTCTCACTCCATGGCTGTTCAAATCACTGCGTTCGATATGCGTGGACCCAAACCCACTCCCAACTTAGATGGTTTGGCAATGTTTGGCAAATCAGGACACATTTTGATACATAGTCACCTTATATCTCCATTACATTCCATTAAATCACCATGAAAATCTATGAAATCACTATTAAATTCCATTAAATTAACATGAACATCCATGAAATCACGATGAAATTCCATTACATCTGTTACATACATCACCACTAAATCACCATAAATCAGGTTAACCATGGTGTCACAACATGTTGTTCATGATGGTGACCAACCACCTTTAGCAGTCAATCTTGCGCTGTGTCTTAGAGGTACCGACCCCGGGCCCCACATGGTATTGTATCAACCAAGCAGTCAACCAGTTACCCTACATGAATGGGATTGTGCAAAAACAATCATCTATACAGCAGGCAACTTGGCAATGGTGGATATTTAATGATATTTGACGAGGTTTGTTGATATTTGATGATATTTGGGACCATGTTGCGACTCAGAGTCGCATGAAACATGACATGGCGGTTTGAGGGGCTTATGGAATCAACAGCATCTTCCAGGTCATCATAAAGTTCATGCAGACTATCGAGTCTCCAAGTTCTGGACTGAGCGAAATTTGGACGAAGGGACCTGACGATATGGCTATGGTCAGAATTTGAATATGTTCAGAATAAAACAAATCAGGATACCGTATGATTTGTAGATTGTTGTTATTTATTATTATCGTTGAATCATTGAATCATATTTTCCCGAATGCGTAGCAAGGGTTCCCGTTTCACTCTGGGGGTCTGGGGGTTGAGGGTGTGTTCGCTCGACGTTGCGTTCACGGTCGCAACCGTTCGCAACCGTCCGCAACCGTCCGCAACCGTCCGCGCGATCCCCGTATGGCCGTGCCTATGGGAAGTTCTGCAGAGGTGGTCATTTTTGGAGGTTTCAGACGTGTCGTTGCTTCGTTTCGCGTGGCAGGCGTGGCACTTTGTGACATTCAGACGTGTTTTGCAACGTGTTGAAAATCGTTTTGCGTGGCAGGCGCAATACTTTTGTGACGTTTTCAGAAGATGTGTTGCAGTTTTCGTGGCAGGCGCAGCACTTTGGACGTGTCCATCGTCATTTTTCGTGGCAGGCGCAGCACTTTAGACGTGTCATGTTGCGTGTTTTTTGCAAATCGCATTGGCAGGGCTGCGTCAAGTGGCGACAAGGTGCAAATTCCGTGGCAGGCGTGGCATTTTGTGCGATGCGTTGAAAATTGACGGAAGCCTCGCACGAAACATCGATTTTGAGGTTGCCAATTTTCACGTTCTAAGGAAAAATCGTAGGAAAACGTCGATTTTGAAGCTACAAAGTGTGAAAAGTAGAGGAAGTCTCGCACGAAATGCTCGTTTTGGTGCTCCCACGTGTCTCGTCTCGAGTCTCTGGTTTCCCTGTGGCCTCGCCGTGTCTATGGGGGAAGCTGGAAAACATGTTCTTGCGGCATGTTTCAAACTATGAAAATTGGAGGAAGTCTCGTACGAAATGCTCGTTTTTCTGCATCCACGTGTCTTGTCTCGAGTCTCTGGTTTTCCTGTGGCTTCGCCGTGTCTATGGGGGAAGCCGCAAAACCTCTCCTTTTCGAAGGTTTCCAAGCAGCTTGTCATGTCGTTTTGCGTGGCAGGCGTGGCACTTTGTGACATTCCAACGTGTTTGATAACGTGTCGAAAATGTCCAAATTGGAGGAAGTCTCGTACGAAATGCTCGTTTTTCTGCATCCACGTGTCTCGTCTCGAGTCGTTGGATTTCCTGTGGCGTCGCCGTGTCTATGGGGAAAGCTCCGCACTCCTCACTCCACACTTTACACTCCACACTCCTCACTTTACACTCCACACTCCACACTCTACACTCCACACTCCACACTCTACACTTTACACCCCACACTCCACACTTTTTACATTTTACACTCCACACTCTACACTCCACAAACTAGACTTTCCACTCCACACTCCACACTCTACACTTTACCCTCCACACTCCACACTCCACACTTTACACTTTACACTTTGCACTCCACACTCCACACTTTACACTCCACACTCCTCACTTTACACTCCACATTCCACACTCCACACTCCGCACTCTACTCTACACTTTACACTTTATTAAACTCCTCACTCCTCCCTCCACACTCTACACTCCACATCCCCCACTCACACTCCACACTCTACACTTTCCACTCCCCACTCCACACTCCACACTCCACACTCTACACGTTGCACTCCACACTCCACACTTTACACTCCACACTCCACACTTTACACTCCACACTCCACACTCCACACTTTACACTCCACACTCCACACTCAGCGCTCTACACTTTACACTTTAAACTCCTCACTCCTCACTCCTCACTCTCACACTACACTCCACACTCCTCTTTACACTCTCCACACTCCACACTCCTCACTTTACACTCCACACTCCGCACTCCACACGCCACACTCCACACTCTACACTTTACACTCCACACTCCACAGTTTACACCCCACACTCCACACTCTACACTCCACACTCCTCACTTTACACTCCACACTCCACACTCTACACTTTACCCTCCACACTCCGCACTCCACACTCCACACTTTGCACTCCAGACTCTACACTTTACACTCCTCACTTTACACTCCACACTCCTCACTTTACACTCCACACTCCACACTCCACACTCAGCGCTCTACACTTTACACTTTAAACTCCTCACTCCTCACTCCTCACTCCCCACACTACACTCTACACTCTACACTCCACACTCCTCACTTTACACTCCACACTCCACACTCTACACTTTACACTCCACACTCCGCACTTTACACTTTACACTCCTCACTCCACACTCGACACTCTACACTTTACACTCCACACTCTACACTTTACACTCTACACTTCACACTTTACATTTTACATTCTACATTCTACACTCCACACTCTACACTTTCCACTCCACACTCCGCACTCCGCACTCCACACTCCACACTTTACACTCCACACTCTACACTTTACACTTTACACTCCTCACTCCACACTTTACACTCCACACTCCTCACTTTACACTCCACACTCCACACTTTGCACTTTACACTCCTCACTCCTCACTCCACACTCTACACGCTACACTCCACACTCCACACTCTACACTTTACACTCCACACTCTACACTTTACACTTCGCATTCTACACTTTACACACTCTACAGTCCCCACTCCACGCTTTACACTCCACACTCCACACTTTACACTCCACACTCCACACTTTACACTCCACACTTTACACTCCACACTGCAGACTGGTAACAGGGGAAATATGTACAAGACAGTTCAAATAAACTATTGCAGAAAAGTGTTGTGCGTGACTGCATATCCATGTGTTTTGACATCTGTACCATTAACATACGTGTGAGCATTCGGGTTCGTAGGCTTCATCTTGTTTTTTTTCTGGAGAGGGGGACGCCCCACGCCCGTGTAATTTCCATATAAATCTCTATTTTTGACAAAGTCCCTATATAATGAGTTTTAAGACCTGTTCTCATTGCGTCCTTTTCTGTTTTTAAAATATATTATTTTGTGACTTGGACCTGTCCGTCGTAATGTTCATGTCTTCGTTGTTTCAAGATGTTTCAAGGCTATCCCGCTTTGCTTCGGGATTGATTGTGCAGGAAGAGCACTTCTTCACCTCTCCTGAATAGATCAAACCATCCCAATTTTGATGATTGTTGCAGTTGTTGCATTCAAACCAATTGAAACCTCCAACTCCTCCAACTGTTCCAACTTTGATGAGTTCCTTTCTGTCTGTTGATGGATAAACCACCCAACTGCCCGAGGTTCTGGCTGAACATCTCAGTGATCCACACGATTGATGTTGCGGCAAAGCAGGTCAGCTTTAAGTCGCTTGATGCCGAAGCACGCTGGACTCTGGCTGGATAGGTGGGGCCTTGTTGGGTACGATTTATGTGTAACACATATCATCATGGATCATGTACAAACATTAAGTATTCTTTAGAAAATGCTGGGACTTGTTGTGATCCAGCAATGGGGAAATTTGTTGTTGAAATTTGTTGAATATGCAGGGATGGATTAAAAACATTAATTAAAACCATTTGTCAAACATATCGGTATAAGCAGATTTTTGGATGACGGGATGAGCCACACGTCAACTGCCCCGTTGAGCCAAGGTTGCATCCCAATTGCGGCAAGATGGTTCTGAAGGAAGTGCCCTGTTGGGAAAGCGCTAGACCTGTTTTCGAAAGGGAAACAGAAAGGGAGGATCCGGGAGTTGAGGCCAAAAGTGAGTTAGTCTGTCAGCTGCGTTTGAGACAAACCAAAATTGCAATATCTTGCGAACATATTAATTACTATATATATATAAAGGATATATATATATATAATTATAATCCCCGTTTGGGGCTCCTGGCTGAAAAGGGTGAGCTGGAGCCCCAAAATTTAACCCCATTTTAGCCAAATTTAACCCCAAGAATGTTGGGCCTCAGCTTTTCATCTTTTGGTCCCTTTTTACATATTTTAGAATTTTGATTTTAAATTCAACATGAAGCCAAAGGATTTCATCGGAGGGAACACCTCTTGAGAGCATTTTTGCAATAGGTTGGGCGCAGGTAGTTTCAACCACTGACGCTTACTGAGAACCATTTTTGGCCTGAAGGTTGCACACAGGTTTTCATTCGACCGTGTCTTCTTGCAAGGCTCGACATTTTTGACGTCTATACGGTGAACATTGAAATTTTGAGAGGTGTATCTTGGGAGGTTGGATGAGGATGGGTTTGCAAAATTGAGTCATTAGTCGTTTATGTTTATGCTGTATCTTGGGACGTTGGTACAGGATGGGTTGGCTCACATGCGTGGTGTAACATGGCAAGCTGTTCCGGCAAAGTTCAAAACAGGGATGTGTGAGATGAAAAAGTTAAGATCTGAAGTTTGTAGTGTGTCTTGGGACGTTGGTTCAGGATGGGTTGGCTCACATGCGTGGTGCAACATGGAGAGCTGTTCCGGCAAAGTTCAAAAGAGGGATGTGTGAGATAAAAATCTTAGGGTCTGAGGTTTTGTGGTTTGTCTTTGGAACATTGGTTCAGGATGGGTTGGCACACATGCGTGGTGTCATCTGTTCCGAGTTGTTCAGGCAATGTTCGAAACAGGGATGTGTGAGATGAAAATTTTCGGATTGAAATTTGTAGTGTCTTGGGACGTTGGTTCAGGACGGGTTGGCGCACATGCGTGGTGTAACGTGGAGAGCTGTGCCGGCAAAGTTCAAAACAGGGATGTGTGAGATAAAAATCTTAGGGTCTGAGGTTTTGTGGTGTATTTTTGGAACGTTGGTTCAGGGTTGGCACACATGCGTGGTGTAATATGGAGAGCTGCTCCGGCAAAGTTCAAAAGAGGGATGTGTGAGATGTAAATTTTCGGATTGAAGTTTGTAGTGTGTCTTGGGACGTCGGTTCAGGATGGATTGGCACACATGCGTGGTGTAATATATGGAGAGCTGCTCCGGCAAAGTTCAAAAGAGGGATGTGTGAGATGAAAATCTTAGGGTCTGAGGTTTTGTGGTGTGTCTTTGCAACATTGGTTCAGAGTTGGCACACATGCATGGTGTCATCTGTTCCGAGTTGTTCAGGCAAAGTTCAAAACAGGGATGTGTGAGATAAAAATCTTAGGGTCTGAGGTTTTGTGGTGTGTCATTGCAACATTGGTTCAGGGTTGGCACATGCGTGGTGTAATCTGTCCGAGTTGTTCCGGCAAAGTTCAGAACAGGGATGTGTGAGATGAAAATTTTCGGATTGAAATTTGTAGTGTGTCTTGGGACGGATGGGTTGGCTCACATGTGTGGTGTATTATGGAGAGCTGTTCCGGCAAAGTCAAAACAGGGATGTGTGAGATAAAAATCTTAGGGTCTCAGGTTTTGTGGTGTATCTTTGGGACGTTGGTTCAGGGTTGTCACACATGCGAGGTGCAATCTGTTCCGGCAAAGTTCACTACAGGGATGTGTGAGATGAAAATTTTCGGATTGAAATTTGTAGTGTGTCTTGGGACGTTGGTTCAGGATGGGTTGGCTCACATGCGTGGTGTATTATGGAGAGCTGTTCCGGCAAAGTTCAAAACAGGGATGTGTGAGATAAAAATCTTAGGGTCTGAGGTTTTGTGGTGTATTTTTGGGACGTTGTTTCAGGGTTGGCACACATGCGTGGTGTAATATGGAGAGCTGCTCCGGCAAAGTTCAAAAGAGGGATGTGTGAGATGAAAATCTTGGGGTCTGAGATTTTGTGGTGTGTCTTCAGGATGGGTTGGCACACATGCGTGGTGTAATATGGAGAGTTGCTCCGGCAAAGTTCAAAAGAAGGATGTGTGAGATGAAAATCTTAGGTCTGAGGTTTTGTGGTGTGTCTTTGCAAAATTCGTTCAGGGTTGGCGCACATGCGTGGTGTCATCTGTTCCGAGTTGTTCCGGCAGAGTTCAAAACAGAGATGTGTGAGATGAAAATTTTCGGATTGAAGTTTGTAGTGTGTCTTGGGACGTTGGTTCAGGATGGGTTGGCACATATGCGTGGTGTAATATGGAGAGTTGCTCCGGCAAAGTTCAAAACAGGGATGTGTGAGATGAAAATCTTAGGGTCTGAGGTTTTGTGGTTTGTCTTTGGAACATTGGTTCAGGATGGGTTGGCACACATGCGTGGTGTCATCTGTTCCGAGTTGTTCAGGCAATGTTCGAAACAGGGATGTGTGAGATGAAAATTTTCGGATTGAAGTTTTGTAGTGTCTTGGGACGTTGGTTCAGGATGGGTTGGCACATATGCGTGGTGTAATATGGAGAGTTGCTCCGGCAAAGTTCAAAACAGGGATGTGTGAGATGAAAATCTTAGGGTCTGAGGTTTTGTGGTGTATCTTTGGGACGTTGGTTCAGGGTTGTCACACATGCGTGGTGTAATATGGAGAGCTGCTCCGGCAAAGTTCAAAAGAGGTATGTGTGAGATGAAAATCTTAGGGTCTGAGATTTTGTGGTGTGTCTTCAGGATGGGTTGGCACACATGCGTGGTGTCATCTGTTCCGAGTTGTTCAGGCAAAGTTCGAAACAGGGATGTGTGCGATGTTTTTTTTTCGGATTGAAGTTTGTAGTGTGTCTTGGGACGTTGGTTCAGGATGGGTTGGCTCACATGTGTGGTGTAACATGGAGAGCTGTTCCGGCAAAGTTCAAAACAGGGATGTGTGAGATAAAAATCTTAGGGTCTGAGGTTTTGTGGTGTATCTTTCGGACGTTGGTTCAGGGTTGGCACACATGCGTGGTGTCATCTGTTCCGAGTTGTTCAGGCAATGTTCGAAACAGGGATGTGTGAGATGAAAATCTTAGGGTCTGAGGTTTTGTGGTGTGTCTTTGCAACATTGGTTCAGGGTTGGCACACATGCGAGGTGTTATCTGTTCCGGCAAAGTTCAAAACAGGGATATGTGAGATGAAAATTTTGCGGGTTAGCTCTTGCCAGGTTCCATGAGTGGCGCTTGGAAAAGAAAGATTTCGAAAAAAAAGGTACTCTCTTGGAATCTACTTTTTTGCGGTTTTATCTCTATTCGATGCTGATGGGATTGATTGATGTAGTGGTTGTTTGACTTTATTGGCATATTAAAATCCGGACCACTTCGGAAACTCCTAGGCTACTTGGAGAAAGCGTTTCCAAGTATTTACATGCCAACAAGGCATCAGGTGAAAAGCTTTGGCAGACACAAACGCTGGGTGGGATGAAAAGGGTGTGGTTGACCGTTCTCTGGGGAAGTTTTGATTTTACAGTTTAAGGTTTTTTTTGAACATACGCTGAGCACTGCTGTTTTCATCTCTTGTGCCATTTTTATTTTCAATTTTCAACATACCCCAGACACACTGAGTTTAATCTTTTGTACCTTGATTTTTCATTTTCAGAAATAGGGGTGGGGCCGGCTTTTCATCGTTTCATTTTTTTTTTGCTCATACCTTGGCCCTCCAGGTTTTTAAACTAGGTGTTTGGGGTGAAAACCTGGTGCTGCACCCTAAGTTGAACGCCCAACGGGGATAATTATATATATATATTATAAATAACATAAGAATAATTACATAAAATTGCAATCTTCAATTCCTTTTTCGTCTCTTTTCGTAGAGTAGATACTGTGCAGGTCAGATGTCATTACAATATGTTGGTTAGTCGTACTTACATCATCACCATACCATAAAGCCTAGTTAGCCTGGTGTTTTTTCTTAACTTTGCTAACTCCCATTAAATCTCATGAAACAGAATGAACTCCCAATGTTTATCACCATTGTTTATCCATGTTTTACAATAAATCACCATTTTTTCACGCCATTTTTTCACAAGTCAGTCATCAATGGAAGTCATCAACCACATCTCAGGCCATTGGCTGCTGGACTGTGACACAGGTGGGACGGCATAGCCGGAACGGCTCATGGCTGTTTTGAAACAGAGGGATTCCAGCAGCAAACCATGAGAAAAAGAACCATGTCATGTAGTGAACCCACGTGAAGCCACTAATCAACCTAGCTGGTGGTTTGGAACATGTTTTATTTTCCCCAATAGTTGGGATGATGGTCCAATCTGACTCATATTTTTCAGGGGGGTAGGTCAACCACCAATTAGCTTGAATTTTGGAGGGTATATACTATATAAGAAGCATTTGTAGACCATATAAGACCCCGTGTCTGGTGAAATTGGGATGGTTTATTATTGGGTTTAGCACAGACATGGGGATAAGACGGGGTATGATATACATAATGTGATATTTCACCAGCAATATATGCTATGGGTTTGTCCAAACCTGAGTTGTTTTACCATCCAAATGCTTCCGAATGGTGTTTTGTAATACAAACAAATGATGATAAACCATTCGTTTCTAGGGTGCAATATTTTCATCCAACCTCACGTTCGTAAGTTGATATCTATGTTTTGGTTTTCGTTCACCTGGATACGGTCAGTTTCGGGTTGCGGCTATGCCATGCTATGCATTCCGAATTCCTCCAACCGGCATAGACCCTGGTTTGGGGGCTGGTATATCATAATATCCCATAATGTTTCTCCAATTATATCCCATTGGCTATATCCCCATGTAATCCCAGATATATCCGACTAAAACCATGATTATGGTTGGTCATATCCTATTTTATGTTCAGTTATACACCATATATATAACACATTATATATTATACATTATTTATATTATATATATTAGTATATATATATTATGTTATATATATCATATTATATATATATCCTTTATATTTCCATAAAATGTTCACAGGTACCAACCGCGATAGCCCTGGACCTTGCTGATACCCAGGCCGACGATCCTGCCAAGAGCCGTGTGACACTAGACGTGACCGGAATGTGTTTGTTTTCTTTACGACCGCGCAAGAGCAGAAGGGGCATTTTGTGAATAGCCGATTCAACGCATGTTAGATGTATATATATATATATCATATATCTGTGTGTTTTGTTCATTACATTTATTTATTCATATACTCATTTTTAGGTATATTGTTCAGTATATGTACATGTATATGTATATGGGGATATGATTAGGATGAATTAATGTGGATGTGATGATGGGGATGTCATTAACATGTAATGGGATTGTCGCTGTTGCTTGAAGCATGTTTGCATGCGATTTTTCATTAGTTCACGGCAGAGTGGATCTCGTTAAGTGACAGACCATGAAGCAAATGGCTCTACCCTCTTATTCACTCTTATTATGTAAATCATGGTAAATCCCCAATAAATTAATGTTTCAATGGGAAACTGATCTATAGGGGCCATTTATACAACAGCTAACTGAGAATTGCAACTTGTGGTCATTCCTATCGATGAGTCCAAGTGATAATCAGATGTCCGACACATACCTGACCAACCAGTAGTAGTTTGCAGGTGTCATCATTCCATGATCCAACTACTGTAGGTTGAAAAATCTTCAGCTTCAGTAGGACAAGTCTCAAATGGATAGCCTATGGATGGGGAGTTGTCCGTTGCCAGGTGACTTTTTTATCAGGTCCATCAGGGGCTAACGAAGGCTACCGAAGCGTCCAAGAGTCAGGTACAATTGAAGGCCTCTTCGTTGCTTCCAACCTGGCTTGTCGCAGCTTTGCAAAGATCAGCGTTGACATGTGTTCAGTGATTTTGATCAACAAAGATCAACACAGGACATTGGAGAGTTCATAAGGTAGAACCAGAAGAAACTATATAGGTCCATGTGATACCTGCGTTATTGTTGGTGTTCTGCATATTTTGGCATGTAGATCTTTGATTTGCGATTGCTAGTTGGGATGGTTATCCGAATCGATTTGAATATCAATAGATATAGATTTAGATAGTATAAATAGATATACACACATACCATTAAGATGACACATATTGATGATGATGATGATGATGATGATGCTGATGATCATGGTGATGATGATGATGATCATGATGATCATGATGATCATGATGATCATGATGATCATGATGATGGTGGTGGTGATGATGATCAGTATGTTTGATGATGATGGTGATGAGTGATCAGTGATGGTGATGGTGATGATGATTATTATTATTATGATTATGATTATGATTATGATTATGATGATATGTACCTTTCATATAATGTGCATGCAAACACTAGTATAGTTATTAATATTACTATTATATATTATTATAGTGATAGTATGTTTGCCATATTATCGTATTAGGCTTGTCATTGCTGTTTTATAATTATCATTATTATCATTAACATTATCATAATTATCATTATTCATATTAACATTAGTATCATTGTCAGCGCTGTCATCAGCATTATCGTTATGATTTTGTTTGTTTTGTTTATTATTCATGTGTATACATTTATATATTTATATGATTTATGTATGTACTGGACGGGTTGAAACTACTTTATCAACTATATTTTGCATATCTTCCAACTCATGTTACAGGCTGCCGCCGGCCACGATACTCCACGGGTCTCTTTACTAAATGGCTTAAACTTTGACCCAGGTTGAATCATGCCCTTCAAGACTAATCTTCCAAAACGGTTTTGGAACAACAAAAAAACAGGTTAGATAGCTGCAGTTCAAAAACAAACGAAAAACAAACGGGCGCAGTGTCATTTGATGTGAACCCATCCGAATCACTCAGACATGTTCAGACCGAGGACTATGCTGCGAACCGCGCCCTGCGTTTCTACCTCAGATGGCCATGGGCAATGTCTGTACCGGATGGTTAGCAGGGAACTCAGGAGCTATGGGTATTATTCCCTATTAAATGACAACGAGCCAAGGAGATAGAAGAGTTTCTAACCACATGTGGTCCAAACGTGTGACGAATATGTGGATGGGTCATGATGGGTCAAACATTGTTTCATACCCCATTGGGGTTGACAAACAATTGCACGATCCGTGCTAGAGCGGGAAACAACAACCATGCATTTACATTAGCCTTAATCTTGAATCTTGGCACATGCGCATATCCAACATGGGGAATACAACCAACCACTAACCACATTTGACAGTGATGTTGATTTACCATGACCCAACCCTACGACAATCGCAGGTTTACATAAAGCAGATTGAACCGACCAGATGGGCCCTTTGGGGACCCCAAAATTTGGAAAAAATCCTCAGAAAATTGTTCGATGACCTCATTGCTCCTAGTTTTTTAGACCTTGGCACCAATCTATTCACTCACCCTGTTATGGTCTACTTTGGCGTTAATCGGATTTTGGAGCGATGTTTGTATGGACAGTATAATTGTGGTGCCCTCAAAATATGGGAGTCATTCTGCAACAGGAACACAGTTTGCTTTGGGTCCGAATAGGTTTAAGACCTAAACCCTCCTGTTTCGATGTTCATTTCTTCCAGCCTTTTAGAAATTCACTGCTTCATTTTCAAAAACATGGAACATATTTCAGAACACATGGGCATGGATTTAAAGATATGAATTACCATGGTTTTTTTGGCGCTTTATTTGCATTCCCTTAAAACTTCCCCAGGACGAGCCACGTCTTGGCTAAAACCCCATGTTGAACATGCTCCTCGGCGCCGTGTGTGTGGCTGAAGTTCAGGGTTGCATCAAAAAAAATGCAAAGGTTGGTACAATGTGGGGCCCCCGGTCGATAGCTAAGTTGGTGAACATGATTCCAATAACAATGGTTTATGATACTGATAAGTATAGTATTCATGGGGATACACCAATTTATAACTAGGGGGGCCCGACATTGTATAAAAAGGTTATGTTTGCAGATTCGAAACATCACCGGCATCCAATAGAAATATCACCGCTTCATCCATTCAATATCCAAGCAATGGATGAGCCCCCAAAATCCTTCGGTTAGCAAAATGATGCAACACAATACAATAATACCTAAGTATACCATAATATACCTATCATGTATAACCATATATATATATATACACCACATATAATTGCAGCAGATGCATTTCTTTGCGTTGCAGCAATTCAGAATGTCCTGCACTCCATTTGAGCAACTCATTAGTTTCAAGGTCTGGAGATCAAGTGGAAACCCAATTTACTTCAGGGATTGCGAACCACTGACAGATACTGACAGTGTACTCCTGAGTGGTGTTGATGTGTCGGCAGATACTGGGTATTCCTTTTAAGAGTTCATTTTGAAAGATAAACCCAGACGAAGAAATTGTGTGAACGTATGGTATGTTACCATGTTTACCCACATGTTTACCCACATGTTTACCAGCATAGAAATCCAAAACTTACCGGCCGCATCTCTCCAGGAAATTCACCATCCTCATCCCACATGTACAAAGGGAAAAAAATCTCTCTGGGCAGTGCCGTATTTCCCCTGCCAGGTGAGGATTTCTAGATTTTTTCAGACTTGTTTTCTCCTTGTTCTCCTTCTCCTGCCGAGCCGGATCTCAACTGCGAGAGCCAGATCTCAGTGGGCACATGTGGGCACTGCCGGACCTCAGACGCCCGACAGAATGCCAGAAAAAGTGTCAGGATTTAATGGATGCCAGATAGAATGTCAAATAGAATGTCAAAGTATATGAAAGAATTCAGATAGAATGTCAGAATAAATATGCCATATATTGCCAGATATACTTCCAGATGATATGTCAGAAACTATATCAGAATAGTGTTTCAGGGTTGGGATCAGTTGAAGAACGTGTCATTTTTTGGCGTCGACCTGAGGTGTGGCAAGAGCAGCTGAAGAGAAGCCCAGTGCATGACGTGGTGCCTGAGAGGTGGGGATCATCCAGATCTACAGTGGGGACACAAAGGATAGCGAAGTTGGTGCACACAACTCCAATAAGTATGGTTTATAACACTTATATGACTATATTTCATACGGTTTATAAACCAACTTATAAGTGGGCAGGGCCACATTGAACAACCAATCCTAAACCGTCAATTGTTATTTTGGGATAAAACTACGGGTGTACTCTACCTCATTTTTGGTTGCAACTTAGAGCTGGAGGGGCACACTTTGTAGGCGCTTTGAAACATTGTTTATGTCAAACTGTGGGATTATAATGATTATGATGCCTACATAAACCATAACTAACCAATATCTTTCAGGGGGCTATAAAGAAACCACCAATCAAGCAGAGGCTCGGCTACTGACCCAACCAATCAGCTAGTTATTAATGGGATAACCCAACCAGGGACTCCCAATATTTGCACTTGTTAGGGCTATGACTTCTGGGTATATGGGGATAGGTCAAAACCTCCTATTATTACATATTATATTACCATATTTGAGGGCATAAATAGCCATTAAAAAGGTAGCAAGCTATTGTAGGGTACCTATGGTCCCAGGGTTTTGAATCATGCCCATATGACATGAATATGTAAGGATTATATGGTGCTTTGGGGTGCCTATACTTCTCCCATTGCCAAGGTTACCCGGATTTATGCTGTGTGATAGTGTGATAGTTGAAACTCCTACTGTACATGGCATTTGGGAGATTTAATGTGAGTGATCAAAATTATGATATATAATATATATATATACATACATATACATATATATATATGAAGATAATCTGTAAGTGAACTGACAGTGACGAATTGGTGCCATAGAACCATTGTTCTATTCAGCGTGTTTCACGGTATCGATCATCAAATCCATGGACTGTACCGCCAGGTCTTAACCTAAAGAGCGAACCATGTCGAAACATGTTCCCAAACCAAACAAAGCATGGAAAATTCCTATATCTTTGTTGACCAATCTAGCGGTTGTTCTTCTTGGATCTTGACTTTCCCCAAATTCCCGGTGATGTTCCACTGCTTTTCCTCCGAATGTCTAAACATTCTCCGTGACGTTGCCGTTCGTTGTAGCGTCATGCGAGGCCATTGCCGTATTTGCTCGCGTAGGCGCCGGCGCGCTGGACAGCTGAGGCTCAAAGTTTGCAGCGGCGGAATAACGGTCCAGCTATTAATTAGTGGTGGGAGAGGTTAGACACACATACAATAGATAGATTAGATAGATTAGATAGATTAGATAAATTAGATAGATTAGATAGATTAGATAGATTAGATACATTAGATAGATTAGATAGATTAGATGGATTAGATAGATAGATTAGATAGATTAGATTAGATTGGATTAGATTGGATAGATTGGATAGATTGGATAGATTAGATAGATTAGATAGATTAGATATATTAGATAGATATAGAAGTAAGATTCAAGGTATTTGGATCCATTTCCAAATCATTTGGTCATGATGACTGAGGCATATAAATCAACATAATCTTCCATCTATCTATTGCTATCAGAGGTAATATTGATAAGTGCCAATTAGTATACCATATCCCCCCACCAAACCAACGCCACTTGTGTGGCACTCTCCCTGCCGCTTCTGCGGCTACCGGTGGCAGCCGCAAGAGCAGCCTGGCAAAGGACAGAATGGGCCACAGGTATGGATGGGTCTTGGGTAACCAGTAACCATGCAGGAATAAGTTGAATGCACCTTTTTTTTCCCACCCTGTTGTGCGCACAATTGCACCAAGTCCCCAAATGCCAGATTTGTGGTCAAACCACAGCTAAATAGGATTAGATTGCAACCTATCAGCAATCGAAAAGAATCAGGCTTCAAATCACCTGAGTGCCTGTCTTTCCAGACTGGTACTTTGCCCTCAGGTCAGACATCATCCAAGCATGGTTTGCGAGTCGACGTCTCTCTTGTCCAACCTCGGTCCCCTTGAACTCTTTGACAAAGTCGCGGATGAACTCGGCTTTGACTGACCTAAGGTCTCTGATCTCAGGCTTCTTGCTCTCTGGTTTCTTTGTTTTTTTGGTCTTTGCTGACTTGCTCTCATTCTTGGGACATTTGCCTTTGATCACTTTGTTCTTGCTGCCTGTTGTGTCCTCAGGATTGCGAGGAATGCCTTTGCTGATCCATTTGGCGTGCCAGCGTTCACATGCCAATTTGTGGACAGCTTTCTTTTCTGCATCACTGCGTTTCACACGCTAAATGGCCTTTTTTGCCTTGGGTGCAGGCTTGGGTGCAGGCTTTGCTGCAGGTTGCTCTTTGGATTTCGGCTTGGGAACAACTGGTGGTTTGGGTTCAGTCTCCCCCTTGGCTTCCAAAGTCTGGGCTTCCTTTGTGTGATTGACTGGTGCCTGTGGCATGTCCACATCCTCTTTCTCAGTGTCTGCTTTCGTGTCAGGTGGTGTTGGAGACTTTGCCTCATTCGTCTCAGTCTGTCCTGTCCCCTCCTCGCCCATCTCCCTCTGCTTCTCCGGAGTGTCTCTCCCAGGAAGTACAAGAGTTTCCTCAGAATCAGTCCTTTGAATCTGGGGTGGCTCCACAGGTCGAGGTACTGACTTAGCAGCAGCAGGAATGCCACTTGACAGTGAGAGTGGACGAAGCCTTCGCAAGGTAGGTGTAGGAGGCACAGCAGGTGATCGCACGGTCCTAGGAACATATCGTCATCATGATGATGATCATGATGATCATGATGATCATGATCATGATCATGATCATGATCATGATTGGTGAGGATGATGATCACGATGGTGATGATGATGATGGTGATGATGATGATGATGATCATAATGATGGTGATGACAATGACGCTGACGAGATGATGGTGATAATAATGATGATGATGAGATGGTGATGAAGATGATGAACGATAAATAATGATGATGATGCTGCTGCTGATGAAAACGATGTTTGATGTTTGATATATGATGCATGACGCATGATGCATGGTCATGGCTATTGGATGTTAGCTTACATCACCAATAATGCCACTTGATGCACTAGGAAGGAACCTATGGTTGATGTGGGTGTTTGATGGTATTGGTTCATGGTAATCATAAATGCCCCATTCAACCAACTATGCACCACTCCACAGGGTCCTCTCAGGTTCCATAGGAGGCTCCACCACTTGCGCCATAACGCGCGGAGTCCATGAGAACTCTTGAGTAACTAATGGAAGGGACGGGTTAATGACATGAAACCCACCAGTAGGCTCCTCAGGCCGGAATTCCACTTCATCCTGGGAATCCTCCACCCAAGTTACCTCTAGTGAAATACTCTCACTCATGGCAGCAAAAATGCCCGGTGTTTTTGAGCCTAAGATTCACTTCGATATGTAATTGTGCCAAAGTGAGATTACCAGCTTTTCAAGACGACAACATTTTCAAGATGATACATATGTTTGGTACTCCCCATCACCATGCAGAACCAATGTGAGATTGAGATCATGTTTCTCACTCTTCAGACCGCTTGGTGCTCCCAGGAGATTGGCCAGTGGCAACTTCGTGCTTGGCAGGCGCAGCTACCCCACAGTGCGCTGGGAGTACCATGGGTACCCACTACTTTTCCAAAAGCAATCCTCCATCCTTTCAACAGCTGACTGCATAGGCCTAGTCAAAGATCCCCATTCAATACATAATAATAGCAACCAATTAGTTGTTGGTTTCATCATTCATTAACAAAGAGATTGGTTGGATGGTTCGTCAACAAATCAGCTGCATACTCTTTGGAGACCAACTGCAACATCAGCGATTTGGTAAAGAAATTGCCCGCAACCATTCACAGCTCTGATGACACAATGCAGGTACAAGAGTAACATTGGTTTTTGTTCATCAAAGCTGTTACATAAGTATATACCATGAATGAGTTAATCTTGAAATAATAATAATAATAGCTGTTCAAGCACCCAAAGCTGTGGGCTACAGGATTTTACAAAATGCGTTTGCATTGCCCAGCGGTCAGCCCAAGACGGCCCTTGACAAAGAACAAGGGTTTCGCTGCACCCACGATCTTTTCGTTGTTGTAGACCCTCAATCGCCACACCTTGGTAACGGGGCTGGATCTAATCATTGGAGTGAATACCGGTAGCAGATATAATGGCCCAGGGGTGGATATCATCATATAAAAGTATAAGTGGATATCATTGGATATCATCAAAAGGGTTTGGTAAAAATCCTCATTGCAGGAAACACTAGAAAGACCATGGCACCTTCAGCAGAGCAGGTGAGTCCATGATTTGCTTTGCCTCAAAGTAGGATCCTACATTGCGGTGTTTCACATTCCTGAGTTGAACTGCCGAGTTCTTCCATAGCATGAGCGTTCCTTCCTTCGGATTCACATCAAACCTACAGGGTCGAGCCACAAAGAATCATTGCAATGAATTTGATTTAATAATGATATTTTTTTGGTGTGCAAATATTTTGAAACCTGAATCGTTGTGATATGAATAATCGTATGGTAGATTCATTGTTTTAGGGACATGTATTTCCATGCCAGGTGTGGGGTTTGAGTAACCAAACTATTATAAATTATAATAGACCTACCTCCCACTCCACACCTGTCAGTGCCAGACTGCCATACTTCACCAGGTCGTTGGACCACATGGCCTGCCAGCTCAAAGTCAACAAGCCCTCCCCGTTCGATATCCTGAAGGACAGAGCGGAGGGAAGCCGGGTTGCCATCTGATCCGCTTGCATCTTCCAAGACCACGGTGTCAGCATCAGACTCAAGATGGAACAAGTAGCCCTTGGTTGGGTTCTCCTGCGATGGCAATGTGATTGAAATTTGATGGTGGGTATTTTCTGGAAAGGTACTAGTACCAAAACACAAATTTTGTTTGAACCAGATGCTGATGTTTTTGGATCTTTCATTGAAACACCTGTCCTGAATGAAGTTTTCAGCCTTACCATCCAGTAGCCATGTTCCAGCCCCAAACGTCAACACCGGAGTGTCAGTTTCAACAGATCCATCACCGGTGGCCATGATGTAGAGCTGTGGGCCAGTGGTTTCAGTCCCTTCAATGATCACCCCAACCAGATTGCCATCCATAGTGAACTGGTGACGACCGGTGGGGAACTTCGTTTCCATGTCAGTTCTGGTTGTGGGGGAATCTGGAAACACACTTGCCCAATCAAAGGCTGCCCCATTCAAATCCCCGTCCAAACAGCGGGGGCTTGGTCCTGGCTCAGAGCCTGGTGTAGGAGCTGTGGATCCACTTGGGGAAGCAGCAGGAGTGGTGGATCTGTTGGGGGTTTGGACAGATTCTCCCCACTTGTGGTCAAACTCCTTCAACAATTTTCTCCACTCATGGTTTCGGGAAGGGTCGGAGAGATACTGGCTTCTAAGTTCATGAGGTATGACCAGACATTCATCCTGAATTTTGCACACCCCAAAAGACGGAAGCTCTGCAATCACTGGAGTTTCGTCAGCAGGCTCCGCTTTGTACTTTGGTGTGACCTTTCCAATTTGGCCACGGCCATGCTTCCAATCCTGTCAAACACAACGGTGAATCAAAAGAATGAATTGTCAATAAGATTTCATGTTTTCAGATTATTGTATATTATATCTTAACAACAATCTGTGCCAAAGAACTGGAACATTGTAAAACAAAGATGTGGAAACATCCATCACCGTAAATAAGTTTGTGGGGTTTCTTTTGGTCAGCCCTTTCCTCCATCAAAACACTGGCGGTTGACATGGTGGTAAAGTTGGTGTGCACGCCATTGTCAGACAAGCTCAAGACTGGAACATTGAGTGCCAAGCACGCACGCTCCACAGCACCGCAATAGGCCGTGGTGTTCACAACCACTGTGCGCTTGAGCTGCTGGATACCTCAGGATGCATGCTGGGCAGTGGGTACATGATAACCCGGAATCCACAATGTAATGAAATTAACAGAAACCCATTAGGATCAATGATAGGCAAGATACCCAACAGAGTTTGAATCACCTTCTTCACCACTGGTTCACCCGAAAACCATTGAGAGGTTTCTTGTAGATCGGTAAGGTTCTTGCGGCTGTCATTGCATTGCAAATGAGCCCTAGCACTTGGGACACAAAATTCACTCTCAGCCAAAGCGGGTGGGGCTGCATTGACGGGGAACCCCTGCAAACGCCACAACTCACTACTGGTAAAGGGGTGGACCTCAGTAGCTGGAAGCTGCTCATCATGTCGATTGGAACGGTGTCCTGTAC